TTCAATAAAATAATGTAAATATATAAATATATATATATATAATAAAAATATGTTTATATGAATAATATAATTAAATTTTATTATTTTATATTATGAATAATATAATTAAATTTTTATATTTAAAAAATAATTTTTTAAATTATGTTCGAAATTATATTTGAACTTTCCATATTTAAATAAAATTGTATTATTCGTTTCATGAAAATAATTGAAATAATATCTTAATGAAGAATGTAATATAAATTATAAAAGAGAGTGTACCTTGCAATTCCTTCGATGGTTTTGTAAAACGATAAGGCTCTCTTTACCACATCATTTTTATCAAGATATTTATTTTTTATATATCACTGTCATTTATGTCGTTGTATCTATGCACGTCAATATTAACTTTGTAATTAGATCACTTCGAATTTTAATAAACTATTTGATCCATATGAAAATTTGTGTATAATTAAATTCTTATGTCAGTAATAACAATAAAATCGAAAAAGGATTTATATAGACTTTCTTTCGGTAATCTACATTTGGCAACTATGATACCATCAATCGTAACTTTCATTAACTACGTTCGATTTTTGGTGACCTCTGTTGATTATGCAGCATGCTACCTTTCCTTATAAAATTGTTATCACATTCTTTACCAATTATTGTAATATAAATTTAAAATTTATATAAATAATATTAATTTTTTAAATGAATGTAATATTTATTATATAATATATTCGTTTTCCTATCGCACCATTTTAATTTTCATACTATATACTTTTATTCAATATGTATGGATATATTAAGTGATTCTAGTGTATTTTAAAGATATAAATAGGGATAAAGTTAACTTTCCTATATTTTTACTAATAAACGCGGAACTTGAGAAACTAGAGAAATTTTATGTAAATATTTCTAAAACTAAATTCTTAATTTAAAATTTTAATTTTAAAATTATAAATTTAATATTCTATAATACTAATAATAATTTTCATATTATAAAAATTGTTTCGATATATTTATAAACTTACAAAATTATTATTTATAATAATATTTTTGCATTGAAAAGAAATTATTCTGCATGATGAACCAATCATTTCAATGAACTATTCCTGTACTTGACAAGTAACAAATCTGGAGTATTAGATACATTCGAGATATACTTCATATATTTTCTTTCGAACTTGACCTCGCTAGTTCACCTAAGATAGTTCTCTTAATGGTGATTCTCTAATAATTCAATTTCGTTTATTGACCTCCTAAAGGAAACATCAATTAAAAAATGGCTGTAGCTGTTAGAACATTATCAAAATTTACAGGTAAGATAAGAATAATTATCTGTTATTTTTAATGATAATAGACCTTTATATATTTCGAAATAATTGAAACATGTTTGTAAAATATAAAAATTCACAGTTTTTTGTGTCATTATTCTATTATTTTTGATATTAATATTTGATAATTTTTTTTTATGTTAAAATTTTCATTATATAAGAATGTATATAGTCATTCATAATTTAATTTTTTTGACACTACATATATATTTTTAATTTATTCCTTAATTTAATTTCTACATTATTTTTTTTTAAGTATTAATAAAGTATTACATAATTCTATATTAAATTTTTATCTGATTCATGTATATGTAATATAATAATATAATATATTCTTTTTTCTAAAATTATATTTTATATAAACAATATTATTTTCTGATATCTATTGATTGTGATATTATATATAACTATCAAACATAATTTGCATATTATGTTAATTAATGTTATTATAATATGTCACTTTAAATGTCATATTAATCATTGAAGTCATTGGAAGATATTTAGTTAATGAACCTTGACCTAAAAGTTAAGACATTTGATATTGTCTCTATAAATAATATTCAATTAAAACAATGCTTAACTTTCTATCTCTATCCCATAAAATAACATATGTTTTCTTATATTTATATTAGAGAATATTATTAAAGAATATATATTTTATTATAAAACAAAAATTATTAATTATATTTTTCTTTAATCTTTTTTTAAGAAATTTTTTAGGAAAATATTTTTTTTAAATAAATCATTTTTTTTATTTTTTCAGTTAGAAAATGTGGTAATTTATTACGTACTCAAATAAGATTTAACTATGTAGATACTAGAAAAAACTTGAAAATTGATTCCAATACCAAAGTTATATGTCAAGGTTTCACTGGTAAACAGGGGACATTTCATTGTCAACAAGCCATTGAATATGGTACTAAAATAGTAGGTGGTGTTAATCCCAAAAAAGCTGGTACACAACATCTTGGAAAACCAGTTTATAAAAATGTAAAAGAGGTGAGCAAATAATTATTTAATTTTATATTTTATATTTAAAATTAAAAAATTATCAAATGTATTTTTATTTTAGGCAAAAGAAGCCACGGGTGCTACTGCATCTGTCATTTATGTTCCTCCTCCAAGTGCAGCTGCAGCTATTATGGAGGCAATAGATGCTGAAATGCCATTAATTGTATGTATTACTGAAGGTATTCCACAACATGATATGGTCAAAGTTAAAAGACGACTTTTGGAGCAAAATAAATCTCGTTTAGTTGGTCCAAATTGCCCAGGAATAATAGCTCCAGAACAGGTATTTAATATTTATTAATATTTAAAAAATTATAAAAAAACAAATTTTAGAATCAAGGCATATTATGTATATTCTTATATATTTTATAACAAATTATATCTCAGTGCAAAATAGGTATTATGCCAGGGCATATACATCAAAAAGGAAAAATTGGTATTGTATCAAGATCAGGAACATTAACATATGAAGCTGTGAATCAAACAACACTTGTAAGTAAATTTTTTTTCTTAGAATTTTATATTTTCCTCTTAAATAAAATTAAAAATTATATTTTTGAAAAAAATTTTTATAATAAAAAATTATAAAAAAATTTTATTTTAAGGCTGGTCTTGGACAAACACTTTGTATTGGAATTGGTGGTGATCCATTTCATGGAACAAATTTTATTGATTGCTTGGATGTATTCCTCAGGGATCCAGAATGTGATGGTATTATAATGATTGGTGAAATTGGTGGTAGTGCAGAGGAATCAGCAGCGGAATATCTCATTGAAAATAATACTGTTGGTTGTTCTTCTAAATCGGTACCCAACATCCTGTCCTAATTCATATTTTTTCCAGAAATTCCAATGTTCCTTATATTCCACAAGACATTCTCTATCCTTATAAGTATAATTAATTTGAATATTATTATTTATAAATATAATATATATCTATTGTAATTGTAGGGAAATAAAACAAAACCAGTAGTATCATTTATTGCCGGTATCACTGCTCCACCTGGCCGAAGAATGGGACATGCTGGAGCAATTATTTCAGGAGGAAAAGGAGGTGCACAAGACAAGATTAATGCACTTGAAAAAGTATTAATATACTATCTATCATAATTAAATTTTATCTATATATGTGTTATAATAAATATAAATGTTGTTTTATTTTATTTAGGCTGGTGTAATAGTTTCAAGGAGTCCTGCACAAATGGGAAATGAACTCTTGAAAGAAATGACACGCCTTGGTTTGATCTGTAATTAAGAACATATGCCATCTATAAATACACATTTGTAGTTTGCCTCATATGGATGTATCTTCGTACAATAAATTGAAAGTATAAACTATGCTAGGATCGTCTAAAAAACAAAACAATATAATGCATTAAAAATGTGCAACTTTATTAAATTGATAATGCAGTGATTATATTCATTGATGTGCAAACTAACTTATTTACTTTATTCCTAAAAAAAATCATGCAAAAAAATATGAACATTTATTGAAAAATTAAATTTATTTTACTACTGTACAGTATTTAGAAAATATTTTTAATGCTATAGCTTTTATTTTAACAATTAGCAACCATCCAAAGATCATATAAAAGATACCTAACAATAACTGCCACTATTCTTCGTTACCATTTTTCTTAACCAGAAATTATAAATTTTTCTATGCTATTACACTATAATTTTAAGAAACAGTTATTTAAGCAATTCTTACTATATTGTTGTAAATTATATTAAAAGTATATCTGTTATAACTATAAAACTGTTATATATCTATATTGTAAAACATTAAAATCTTAAATATATTGAATGAAATCAATTAGTTTTTTAATAATTTTTTAAATTTTATTTATTATAAATAAAAGATAACAAATATTTTTTTAGAATGAAAATCCCATTATTTTATCTATAAGTTTAGCAATATGTTTACTTTTATAATTAACAAATGGTTTTAATTCAGCAAAATTCATAGTTTGTATAGTATCTAATAAAGTTTCACAAGTACAATAATATAAATGCTTATTCTTGTGGAGTTCTTCAGCTAACTCTAATTGATGATTGTCCATCAAACTTTGATTTGCAACTACAATTAAATTTTTTTTACTTTCTGAAGCATCTAAGATACTTCCTGCTCCTGCATGACTTATAATTAAATCAGTATTTTCTATATATTTAGTTATATTTGCATTTAAATTGAAATATTCAATATTAATAAAACCACAACGGGGAATACAGTTTGGTATAAATAATGTTTTACCAATTTGTAAAATAATTTCATTATATCCCTTTGATGATAAGATCTAAAATAATAAATTTTATAATTTATTATTAATTTAATATCTTAATATATTAATTTTATAATATATATTTAAAACATCTCTTTAAAATAATGTTTAAATATTTTTAAAGAAATAATAATAATAAGATTTTTTAAAAACTTGTATTTTTTTACCTCTAAAACTTCTGAACTAAGAACTGTCTTAATTAATTCATCAAATTTCGTAGTGCCAACAGTAACAAATATTTTTTTCTTTATTAATGTCATTTTAAATATTTAGAAATAATAAAACTTAACACATTAATTAAAATAAATTATTAAACATATTATTGACATATTATTTTATATTATTGTTTATAAAACATAAACAACATATTGAAATTTAGCAAAAATATTTTGTCAAAGTTTATTCGATCTATATAAAGTTATCAAATATAAAATATAACTACTACTAACATCGAGAATATATAATAGTCGTGATATCTTCTTATTTTCGTCAATTTAAGAAAATGAGAAGAATGAATAGAAAAATAATGATACTAAGCTGTTATTATCGCATTATCGTTATTGCATTATATATGCATTATTCCCCCACTTATTAGAGCGTTTTTTATAGTTCTCCCACACTGCTACTCTCAAACATCATGAGCAGCCATTTTGTTTAAATATTTAAATAACAGTTCTTAAAAGCAACATTAATGTCATCATATAATTCCAATACATTATTTTGTTTATTTTGTTACTGCAAATTTGATAAAGTATGCCAGCTAAAACAAAAAATAACGTTTTAATATATGAAGGTTGTAATTATTTACGATATCGTTTATTATTATCAACATTATCAGGTAAACCTGTACGAATTACAAATATTCGAATTAAAGATGACAATCCAGGACTTAAAGGTTAGTTTAAACATATCTTTCAAAAAATATCCAAAAATTAAAATAGATTTGTTTATTAATATTAATATTTATATGTAATTTATATATGCACACGTTTATATTTTAGAGTATGAAGTCAATTTTATTCGTTTATTGGATAAAATTACAAACGGATCAAGAATAGAATTAAATGAAACAGGAACTAATTTGTACTATAATCCTGGATTATTGTATGGTGGTGAATTTGAGCATGATTGTAATATACAACGAGGTATTGGTTATTATTTAGAAGGAATTATGATATTAGCTCCATTTTGTAAAAATACTGTAAATGTAAAACTTAAAGGAATTACAAATAATACAATAGGTAAATAATATTTTTTGAACTTTTAATTTCAGAATATTAACAGTGTATTAATATAATTGTATGATTTAATTTTTAAGATCCATCTGTAGATAGAATTAAAGCATCTGCTATACCTATATTAAAAAAATTTATATCAGGTGATAATGAAATTATCTTTACTATTAATAAAAGAGGAGCTGCACCTTTAGGTGGTGGAGAAATTAAATTTAAATGTCCTATTAGTCGTAATCTTAAAAGTATTCAAGTTAGTAATTATAAATGTAAATTACATTTCTTCATTAGAATATTTATAATTTAAAAACAATAAAAATACATTTATAGCTTCAAAATAGTGGAATGGTAAAAAGAATAAGAGGTACTGCATGTAGTATACGTGTATCTCCTGCTATTGGTAATAGAATTGTCGAGTCTGTTAAATGTGTATTATTAAAATTTTTACCAGATGTCTATATTTATACAGATCATTGTAAAGGTGCTTCAAGTGGAAAATCACCAGGTATACATATAAAATTTTTTCTAATTTATATTTTTTAAATTAAATATTTCAAATGCTTATAAATATAATAGGTTTTGGAGTGAGTTTATCAGCTGAAACAACTTCTGAAGTTGTTTTTGGCGGAGAAGCATTTTCACCTCTAATGTCAACAGGTTCTTTACCATGTGTACCAGAAGATATTGGTAAAGAAGCAGCTATGAAATTAATTGATGAAATTTATAGGTAAAGAAAATAACTAATAAAATAATATTTTTACATTATATATATTTTTATATTAAAAAATATATAAATTAATTAATTAATTAAAGAAGCTATTACATAAATTTATATGATTGTAGAAATGGTTGTGTAGATTCACCTTTTCAAGCTATGACTGCAATGTTTATGGCATTGGGTAAGAAAGATGTTTCTAAAATTGTAACAGGTCCTTTAACACCATCAATGTAAGTAGTTATTTTATAAACGAATTTATCTTAAAAAGAAAAAATATATTATAAAGCTAATGCATAATATTATTCCCACAGGATACAATTTTTAAGGGATTTAAAAGACTTTTTTGGAGTCATCTTTAAAATTGAACCATTTAAAGAAGATGATGAAATATTAGAACAAGTTGTTTTAACTTGCATAGGTGTAGGATACACTAATATAAGTAAACGTACTTTGTAAAATATTGTACTTATTTTTTTGTTATGTATCAATTGTATAATTGAAATTTATAAATCATATAAATATATATATATTTGTGTATAAATTTTATATAATATTTTTATATAATTTTATTAATTTTACATTAAATTATATGTTAATTTTTTTATTTATACAAAATTTAAAATATTTTATAATACAAATGTTTGTAACTGAATTGGTTTAGAAGGCCAATCACGAAAAAATTCTGATTTTAATGTATTCCATAAACTTTGATAATTTTTAGACCATTTTTTACAATCTAAATAAGTAATTTTTTTAGGATGTCTTATATTACAATCAGAATGTTGATATTTATCACAAGTTCGTAAAAAAGTTTCAAAAAGTGCGCGTCTGCTTATGAGTAAATTGCTACCCTTTTTTTTTTTCGTAGCTCCTTGTTTTCTACCTTCAACTGCTATTTCAGTATCACTAAAAATAAAAAATTATTAAAACTATTTTAATATTAATGTTAATTTAAAAAGTAAAAAGAGATAAATAAGATGCTAATATATTATTATATATTTATGAGACACTTATAGAAGATCTATTCTAAAGATTAAAATAAAACACAAAAGTTAATATACAAAGTATCAATAGCTAAGACTTAAATTATTTTTTTTTATTATTTATTTATATAGTATTTATTTTATAAGCAATTTAAGTTTGAATTAGATAAAATATTTTGTTATGAAACTTAAATTGCTTATAATTTAATAATAAGCCTCGACTGATATTTTTATTATATCAATTAAAAAAATATTTTTGTATTTATTTTGCTCTCTAGAATCTATTATTCAATAAAAATATTACAAATATATTAATATCCTGTATAAATACTAAAAATTACCGATTTCTTACAGCACACCATATTATACTAGATGGACATGGATTTTTTCTTTCAGAATTCTTTTGCTGTTTAAAAAAAAGTTTACTTTGTATAATTTTTAATTTGTATATTTCTGAATTGAATCGTTTATACAATCCACGTTCCATTGCTTCCAGAGAAAAAGGAGAATTACCTCCCACTACAATAGTTTCCAATTTTATTGGAGGTATCAGTATTGATAAAAATGACCCTTGTATTCCAAGTAAATTCCATCTAAAATCAATATATAAAAAATTATTATATTTCTATATTATTCCAAATTTATTATTCCAAAATTATCATATATTATACATTCAAAATAAATTATAATTTTATATAATTTTATTTACTTTGCTATTTTATCTGAACAAGACAAACTAAGAGTAGGATTTCCTCGTCCCGGTTTAGTTCGTAATGGTCCAACTACATGATAATTTACTCCAGGTAAATGAGGATCTTGATATTTTTCAGATTTAACACATTTTGCACCTGTTCTATATATATCTTTAATTGTTTGTTTTTTTTTTTCATTGATATTAGATTTTATTTCTATTTCGATATTATGATTATATTTCTTAATTTTTATTGGAGGTGCATTATCTTCTTCTTTTAAAAATATAGAGCAATCTCCACAAGGAGTTTGACTTGTAAAAAAATGAAATGATATGCCATCATTTATCTTAATCTTTTTTTTATCATCTATTATAAAGACATTATTTTTAATACCACTAAGTAAAAAATCGATTTGTTCATATAAATATCTTAAGAAGGCACGTCTAACAAGAATTTCTGCATGTGAATCATTTAATCTACATCCTTCTTCATATAATTTTGTATTCATTAAATCTATTTTTCCTAAGCATTTTGTTCCTGTAGCAAGAGCTACTAGGGAAAGTGTACCATCCTTTTTTAATAATACTATACCTGATAATACAGTCCATTCTTTCTGTGATGGTTTACCATTCTTACCAAGTTTATTGTATTTTTCTAAACAAAGTTGTGCAACCTTATCTGCAAAATCTTCCATATTTTTTATTTTATTTATTTTTCAATTGATTTAACACACATTAGAAGAATCCCAAGCATATTTGACTTGAAATAAAGAAAATAAAATATTCATGCTCTCTTCATCAATTAAAAAATCTAATTGAATATTATCTTTTATATGTTCTTTATTTATAGCTTTAGGAATAACACCTATAATAATATTATATTATATTATATTATATTATATTATATTATATTATATTAAATAATATGTATTAGAAATAAAAAAAAAAAAGATAAATTATTTACCAATTCCTTGTTGTAAAGCCCAATTTAATAATAATCTCGTTGATAATACATTAAGTTGGGAAGCTATTTTTAACACAATTGGATTTCTTAAAAGATTAATATTGCCACTAGTTCCTAAAGAGGAATATGCTTATATATGAATTCTTTTTTCATTGCAATATTTTATTAATTCTTCTTGACAATAATATGGAATTCAACCTATGGTAAAAATTTTAATAAATATAAAAACAATAATGAATAATAAAATAATGAATGTAGATTAACTATAAATGCAATTAATTTACTTGATTAACTGTTGGTAGTATATCTTTACAATTTTGTAATAATTCTTGTAGATATTTAATTGTAAAATTAGATACACCTATAATATTGAATGCTTTCAAAAATTTCTGCACACATTGTTCTATTCTCTTTGGATTTCCATTTACACTTGGTGCTATTATTTAAATGAATATATTTACAATTATATTAATCATATATATTTATCAAATATATTTATCAATACTTACTTAAGCTTAGTTGTAATAAAAATATCACTTCTTTGAAGATTATATTTTTATAATAAATTTTTTAAAGCATAGCCAATGTCTTCTTCATTTCGATATCCTATAGCTGTATCTACAATATAATATATAAAAAAATGATAGATTTCTATTATATAACAAAAATTAATATATATTCTTTTACGAATATATTAATAATTCACTTATACATATTTACTATATATCAATAGAACGAAAACCAACATTTAAACTTTCATCCACTACTTCATATACTAATTCTTTTCCTTGAATTTTATATGTTCTAACTAAAATAAAAATTTAATATTTTATTATAATAAATTACATTTTTTGAAAAGTATTTTTATTATTATTTTAATATTTTTTTTGATGTATTATTATATTATTATATTAATATGCATAGCATAACTTAAAGATTAATTTAAAATAATATGTATACATTATAAATTTATTATATTTTAATAAACTCACATCCAATTAGAGGCATATCATAACCATTTGAAAGACAAACATTTGTCACAATGTTGGTCATAATATTATTATTAATTTATTTTGTAATTTATTTAATATTTTATATCTGTATATTATTTATCAATATATTATTCTATATATAATATCTATATTTATATATATATTTATATAATACGCATAAATATAATAATATCATTATTTTTTTACAATGTTATTATTACAATGTCTTTCATAAAAAATATTAATTAAAAAGAAATTATGATTAAACTTTATTTTAGGATACCAAAAATTGGTATGTTGACTTTTTTTGTATTTTAATAATTTTTGATTATTTTATCCAAAAAATAATTTTAAGTTTAGGAATCTATTAGTTTAAAAATTATTATTCATATAAAATTAATGATTTTAATCATATCTGATAACTTAATGATACTAATTATTATTATCATATTAATTAATATTAATTAATTTGTATTTATTTATATTATTATACACCAGTTTATTCAATGAGCGGAATTATTTGTATGTAGATGACGATCATATAGATCCATTAAATAATATCTTTAATGTGTTCATAGGATGATTTTTTGCAATCGCTAATATTGCCAATAATTATTATTTTGATAAATTATTTTTATTTCAATATCGAATCATTCATATCAAATGAACAATCGTTGCAACTATATATATATACGTCATTATATACATATATCATACGGACAAATCATAAAACAAAACAGGCATTATTACAGGCATTTGTACAACCAAATGTGATTTATTATGCTTAAATCACTTTTATGCGAATAGCGATTCCGCTTATTGTGTATGAATTATGATCAAATCAACATAGTATCTTAGTAATTTATTAATCTTCATATTATATTATATTTTTATATATTATTATTAATCTTAGTAACCTATTAAATACGTTTAAAATTATTAACTTTATATAGGAATAACTTTTCAACGAATAGTTTTCTAAAATTTTTGGATTATTTTTGAACTATTCATTAAAAACTATAATATAAATATAAAGATATAAAAGAAGATACAAAAAAATTTTAATCTTTTATCATCTTTTATCCCAAAATAAAGTTTTACTAAATTATTTCTATTATAATATTTAATTAATTTTATTTTATAATTGAATACATACAATTATAATTTATATAATAATTTTATTAATTATATATAGTATATAAAGTTAGCACATAGTTAATACAAAGTTAATAGTGATAATACTTAGTACTGCGATCTATATTACATTGTATGTATTTTATATATTTTGTTCATGACAAAATATTTCAATCTGATTTTGACAGTTAATGTTTAAGCTTTTTTTCACATTTTGATATTTATAAAATTTTATAAACCATATAATTATAAATGTATATAAATCAAGTAAAAATAAAATAAAATATAGAATGGCTGAAGAAAATGAATCTTCGACACGACAAAAATCCGAAAATACTGGAGAGGTTATAAAAGAAATAGAGGCTGATATTAGCCGCTATTTTGAAAATGCATCTCGCACAATTTTTGACGAGATTGTGTCACCTAAAAAAGAAGACTTTTTCAATATACGAAGAACTTCTGAAAGTAGAATTCCAGATTTTGAATTACTCACAGATCAGTCAAATGAATTTTTAAAAAGCAATTCATTACTCGATAATGAACGATTCGATCACAGTGGCACAAATGATGTACACAGAGATGTATGGATACCTTCTGAACAAACAAGAAAAATTCTAAGAAGTATTGCTACATCAACTGCTGGGACTAATTCTCTTGATAGAGAGAATTTGACAATGCCAGGTCTTGCAGTACAAGGAGATATGCCAAATTTAATAAAAAGTACTGCTGTGCGATTTCTAGATGAAGATGAAAATATACAAAGGCATGTACTTACTGCTTCTGATGTAACTCAAGATGAACGTGGTTTAAGGACATTAATACAAGCTGGTTGTTACAAAGCGGCAATAAATTTATCAGGAAGATTATTAGCAGTATATGCTCAAGGATTTGGCAAAATAAATCAACCTAGTAAACATTCTCCACATTCTTTACAACTATGGTATACAAGGCTAGCTCTTTTGACTAAACTTAAGCAAATTGATATTTTAGAAAATGAATCAAAACCATTTGGTAATTTAGATAAACCAGACATGTATTTTACATTTTATCCTGAACTTTATGGTACTAGACCAGGTTCTATGGCTTCTTTTTCTTTTAGATTACTTTTAGCTGAAATTCCAATGTATTGTGGTAAAGCAAAACAAGCATTGGATAATCTTTTTAAACTTCTGTCAATAGTGAATCAAATTATAACTAATTTTAATGCTGGATTTAATGGAGATGGATCCCATATTAAAATCAATTGCGCAGAACAAGAAGATGCTATACGATTATGGAAAGCCAGAAGATCTAGAATTCTTATATCTGTTACTAACTGTGCAGTTAGCATGAAAAATTATGTATTAAGCATAAATATTTTAGAAAAACTTTGTGAATCTGCAGATTGGACATCTGAACAAATGGATGCATTAAAAGCTAGTATAGGTAGATTACATCTATTTTTGGGAGATGTTTCAGCAGCAGAAAAATTTCTAATTAATTTACACAAAAAAGATAATAGTCTAACTGTTCGAGAATTAACAGATAGAGGATTATTAGCAGTAGCTCATAATTCTTTTCAAGAAGCATATAAATGTTTTCAAGCAGCAGAAGCATTGGATCCATCAAATATCGCATTAATTAATAATATGGCTGTTTGTCTTTTATATACAGGCCAGTTAAAAGCTGCAGTTCATTTATATGAAAGCATGATAACAAGAAATCCTGTAAAAAGTTTACAAGAACCCATATTGTTAAATATATGTACATCATATGAATTACATACTATTCATTGTAAACAACCGAAATTACATTTGCTAAATCAATTAAACAGATATAAAGGAGATTCTGTAGATATACAATGCCTGAAACTTCCTTTAAATTAAAATTATTTTGTTTATCTATAATATATAATCAGGCTAGAAATAAAATTTTTAATTTTTTATTTAATTATGAAAATGTATAAATTTTAATAATAAAATAAAAATTGATTTCAATTGTATTCTTAAAAATTTAATATTAGTTAATTTTTATTTTTTATTATCATTTATTATTTTCTTTCGATGAATTAATTTATAAAATTATAAAATTTATCAAATTGAATTTCTATGATTTAATTTTCAATTATAGATGAAAAATTTATTATTCTATTGATATTTGTGAATAAAATATGTAAAAATGTCATTCTATATATTGTCTACTATATTTCGGAATAAATATATTCAAAATATTTGTGAATAAATATATATATTTTAAACATGAATTTATATTCAATTTAAATTATATACGAAATGCATTTACATCAAATTTGATTTTATAAGAAAAAGATAATATTATATGATATAATTGAAATATTACTTTTTATTTATTTATTTTCTAAACCTAATGACAAGCAATTTTTTTAGAATTAGAATATAATTTTTCAGATTCAGCATACGTAAAATTCTATTCCCAAACATGAAAACTTAATTGATATATTTTATATTGAATTTATATACTAGTTTTGTAACATCTATTTTTTGCATAAACAGATCAAATTTGTAGAAAAAATGTGAATTACAATTAATTTTCTTTTATATTATTCTATATATAAAATATTCCAAAAATGTGGAAATTGGAATTTGTTATTGGTCAATAATTCTTCTACATTATTAAGAAAAATACATCGTATCAAGAAACGCTGAAAATTATAGAATATCTTATTTATTTAGTTTTGTCACGAAGTATGTACATAATACAGTGTAATATTATAAAAAGTTATAGTATATATAATAAAATGACCAAAAATTGTAGCAAATATGCTATATTTTTTTTCTTCTTTTAATTAAAAATAAATTACTAAATGTTCCAAATAAATTTTTATGTATTTTATATTTGTTATTATGTTTATATAACATTTACTACTTATTTATAATTTTTTCAGAAGTAAGTTTTGTTAAAGTTTAAAAATTTAGATTCGCTGAATAATATTTTAAAAAATTCTTTTTCTAAACATTTTGCATTTTACCGATAACAACAAATAAAATTGAATAGAAAGAGATAGAGAGGATAAAGAAGAAAAAGGAATGAGAATCAAAATAGAAAGTTTAAAAGAGCTTGCATATCGGCGAAGCAATAGTAACACAAAAATTGTTTTATTTTTATTAATAAAAATATTATTATTATTATATTAATAAGATTTTTTTTATTAAAATGAGATCAAATACAATGTTGTAATTTGTTTCATACTTATTTAATTAATAAAAAATTATACATATGTGTATATATGTATGTACATATAATACATTAATCTTTTGAAATTAAATTAAGAATGTTCGATACAACTTAACAAATTAAAAAAATTAGATCAAAATTTTTTGAAATAACATGAAATATGTAAGGATTTTATAACGGTTTATAATGCCAGATATAACATTAAAATTTTAACAATAATTCCATAGATTAATTGATTAATCCCTACAATTTTTTACAAAATATATTCATAAAATAATTTAAAATATAATTTTTTAAAACTAATTTAAAATTCGCACACAAATGTTGAAGCAATAAGTATATCATTAATTTAATTTATTATTAAAAGTTAAACTAGCCAATAATTTTATTATAATTTTATTAACTACATTACTTTATTAAATATATTAATTCGCATGTTGCTAATCATATTACAATTATCACATGTAAATTGAATTTCAACATATTATTTCTTTAAATCACTTCATATTTGTTATAGAAAATATCATAAATTCTGTTAATTGATTAAAGCGATACTGAACAATAAATAGGTAAAAAATATTTTATTTGAAAATAATCAATTTAATTTAATTAGATAACTAGTTGTTACTATTCAATAGCTATAAAATTTTTAATAAACAGATTCTCTAAATTATTTTATCTTATCAACAATCATGAACGTAAAAAAAAAACAGTAAGTAAGAAAAAAAATTCACAAATCCAATCAACCAATTTTTATGATAATATTTTAAGAAAATCCTTCAAGTATATTAATAAAATTTTTATGAACAAAAAATTGAAAATAAAAATCTTTCGTCGTTGCATTAGTATTAATATTTTATTGATATGAAGATCATAAAAATCTCAATTAATTCTTTTCTTTTGATTCTTCCTTTCTAATTCTTTCTAATCTTTCTATATTTCTAATTTTTTAATAA